TCCCCGGCACTCAGGGTCGCCTTGCGACCCCCCCGGAACGCTCCCGGGCACTCGTGCGGCTCTCAGCGCCCTCGGTTTGCAAGACGAGGGACGCGGCGCGCTCGGAGCTTGCGTGGCTTGACGCAGCCACAGCTGTGAGGAAATGAAGTCGCCGCGAGGCAGCCAGTTCAAGCCCCGGTCTCCAGACGTTGCCCCGTAGCTGCCGGTAAGTGCCCGCTTTCCCAGACTCGCCCTTGCCCGCGCAGCGCCCGCCACTTTCCAGCGAGTTTGGCGGCCCGAAAGTTCTCTCCGCTGGAGCGGGACTTCGAAGGGTCGGGAACTGCTTCTGGGTACCCGCGAGCGCCTGTGTTGCTTAGATGGTAAAAGGCTTGACAGCTGACCCTTACGCGAAAGGAGGCCGGGCAGTCAGGAAGGCCCCCACTTGCTTACCAGCTCTCCAGATGGTCCTTAAGGGAATGTTTCTGCGGGTTGGAGCCAGGGTCTCTCGCCCTGTCGCCCAGGCTGGAGTGCAGTGGCCCGATCACAGCTCCCCGCAGCCAGTCTCCTGGGCTCGGGCTGTCCTTCCACCTCAGCCTCCTCAGAAGCTGGGACGACAGGTGCACGCCACCATGCCTGGCTAATTTTTTTTATTTTCTGCAGAGATGGTCTCGAACACCTTGGCTCAAGCAACCCTCCCGCCTCAGCCTCCCAAAACGCCGGGAATAGGTATGAATCACCACACCCGACGAATTTTTCTTACTAAGTAAATGTTTTAGTGTCCTGAAAGCAACTGTCTTCATGTGTTTCTATCTCACACAGTCATTCTTTTCTGAGTTGGAGTCTCATTCTGTCGCCCACGCTCATGGCCACCGCACCCTCGACCTGCTGGGCTCCGGCAATCCTTCCACCTCAGTCTTCCAAGTAACTGGAACTACAGGCGTACACTACCACGCCTGGCTAATTTCTTATTTATTGTAGAGACGAGGTCTCACCAAGTTGCCTGGATGGGTCTTGAACCTGCGGGCTCAGGCAATCCACTCACCTCGGCCTCCCAAAGTGCTGGGATTACAGGCTGAGCCATCGAGCCTGGCCCACAAAGTCATTCTTTCACAGCATCAGGTGCTCAATCCTTTGGACAGTTCAAGATCCACTTCTGAATTTGAAGCAAAAAGAGCGTGTGTAATACCTCACTTGGGGTATGTTCTGAATGCTTGTATTTTCTGAACCGGATTAAATGTTATGTAAGCATTGCTAAAATGCTTTTGAATCTTGCCATGGCTCATTTATTCCAGACGAGATATCTTTCATTTAGACCTGAAGCGAAGGCAATGAAATACGAGACAAAATCAACCATTTACTGGCAGAAAGTAGTAATGCTACACGAGGGGAGGACCAAAAAAAAAAAACCGGAATTATCCTCTGGAGGGTAGAACCCTTGTAGCACGGGCTTTCCCTGCTAGGTAAGTATTTAGGCACCCACTGGCATCAGTGTGCCAGCTAGTGTTGTCATGAGAGGCTGCATTCGGCTTCAGTGAGGTGGTTTTTTACTTTTTGGGGCTTCTCCTAATGCATTTGTCCATTTCGTGATGGATGATTTGCAAGGTGAGTGGATTGCCTGAGCCTGCAGGTTCAAGACCCACCTGCCCACACTGTGCTGAGTGTTCGGCATGCCCCACCCTCCGTATTCACCCAGTCTCGCCCTGAGCGACTTTTTTGTTTGTTTCCCCAATGGAAAAAGTCAGAGGGAAATGTTTTGCCGAAGTGGAAGAGGTGAAGCCAAAAACAAGCAATCAAAATGGGTGAGGAAGTCTACTGGGAATCTAAGAATGTTTGACTTTGTTGCTATCTTTTCCCCCATACAAAGACCTTGTTATGGTAACGCAAACAGCAAGCTCACCTGCTCTCCATCCCCCTTGCTTAAGTGCCTGTTGCCACCACTGCCCTATTCTGGCACTCCAGGCCAGTCTTGTGTCTAAGGTGCCATGTCTGGGTGTGGCCAGAGCCTTGCCTCCCTTTCAGCTGCCCGTGTTTTAAGCCCCATAACTCATGACTTCTTCCCTTACGTTTTCGTAACTCCTCCTCTGTGTCACAGTCACCGATTTGGATTACAGTCATCTACTCACCAATGCTTTTTCCAGAGGATTCAGCTCATCAAGCAAGGACCGTGCCTCACTCAGTTACAGACTCAGCATTTGGTGTATGGTAAGCATTTTTCAGCAAGCTGAAGACAACCTTTCCTGGCTTGATCCTGTTTTTCTTTGTAACAAGCCAAGCAATTCCCTTTTCACTGTTTTTGTTTGTAACACATTAGAAATACATTAGACTGAAACTCTCAAAGACTTTTAGCCCCAATCCAAAGACTTTTAGCCCCAATCATTTAATTGTTCGGCCTCCCCTCAGCGTTCACAAAACCTTTTACAAATTCTAGTTGCGAGAGATGAAGCCAACCATGTCAAGGTGGGATTGTGTCTTCACTTTGTTTTTCTCCTTCGTGGCTCACAGAGCCACGACGTGTCCCTCGATCCGATGTAACGTAACAAACGTGACAGTGCTGGGAGTCAGGCAGTGAACAAAGTAGACACGGCGCCTGTCATTCTGGAGTTGAGTTCAGGGAGACAACAGCCAGTAAGTCATTCCGGATGTCGTGGGTGTCGAAATGAGAGGAAGCAGACGCTGCTGTGAAGGGTAAGGGCTAGGAACGAGGCTGGGGCAGAGAGAGAGGGTCTCCCTGCCTCCCTGTGCCCCCAGTCAGGCCCCAAGCTGAGTGGACGTTGAAAGCATGTCTTCCTCCAGCCCAGGGAATCCCGTGTCAATATCCACTGGAAACACCCTCCCAGACACACCCAGAAATAAGGTCTCACCTGCAATGGCAGCATCCCTCAGTCCCATCAAGCTAACACCTGATATGAGCCATGGCAAGTCCACCCTTTGTCCGCTTGGCACCCAAATGCGTCTCCTTAAGCCATACCTCATCTCCAAATAAAGACAATAACAAGGTCATCATTCTGCCCAACACAATACAACTATCCTGCATACAACCAAAAACATACTAATCACATCCCCAGAGGGGGTGAAGTTCTTTAGTGATATTTACTCTTCTCTGGATCTCCCGTAACTTAAATACTATGATGTAAAGTTAACAATACTGAAATACTGAAGTCAAGTCAGTAGAGCTTATGTGATAAGGAAATAAGAGGATAGAAAACAAAGACATTTGCCTAAGATGTGTGTATATACACACAAACATATGCTTAGCACAACAGGGCAGAAACATGCATATTTCAGTCCTCATTTCTGGAACTGGCCGTATGGTTGGAGCTGGTATCTATAACTGCTACCTTCTTCTCCTCTCTGTTCTGTGTTGCCTGCAGCAAACACCTCAGCTGCCCAGGGTTTTTCACCTGGGAGTGTGACCCAGACCTTCCTTCCTGGAGGGCTGGGGCCATTCATAGTCCTGGCCTGGAGTGGGTTGTTAGTTTCCCAGTGACCTTAATCATAGAGCGTGGTGATACCAAGAAGTGCCCCAAGAGAGCTCCTGACTTCCAGACATGCTCTCTTTTGCCTTCCCCGTGGAGTAATGGTCCAGCTTCCCCTTGGTGGTTGGAATCACACACCCGCCAACACCATAACGCCGTTCTGAGCCTGCTGTCGCTGAGGCATAAGGAGCCTAGAGCGGTCAGGCAGCAGTCTGAACCTCCAGGTTAATGAGCTCATTGTGTCTCCTGATAGAGGCATTTCTCCCTCTGGAACAAAGACCTCTAGGCCACCAAGCACCCACGTTGTTGGAACAGGAGACAAACATTTTGCCAGTAGGTCACACTGATTCCCAGACCCACGAATCCCGGCCGTGGGAGTCCAGCACCGGAGGTTGGCACTGATGCAGAGCACACACAGCCTTCTGGAAAACCTTGCCCAGCCTGCAGAGCCTTGTCACCTGGGTGGCGCTGTGACTGTGTCTTCAAAAGGCCATTCTGCCATTCTGTCAGACCAGCTGCTCAGGATGATGGGGAACGTGGTAAGACCGACCAGTGGATTCCGTGACACAAATATTCTCACATCCTTTGCCCACTCATGGATAGAGGTCTGTCCACATACCTCTTCCCAAATTTGTCACCAGTTTCCCAATCACATCCCTTCCAAGTTCGTGACCGCCCAGCCAGACCACTGATTGGCTATAGCCCATGAACCCACATATAATCACACATGTGGCCACCTCCCCTTCCAGGCAAATACACAGCCAGGTGCACTGCCGGAAGTCGTCTCCTGGGACGGTTTCCCTTCAACACTGTCCTTCGGGGATGGGCCAGAAGGGGGCAGCAGAGCTGCAGCTGTCCGCTTTCAGGGTGGCTTGCCTGTGGGCAGCCATCGGCAAACCAGGCCCTAGTCCTCTCCTTGTCACAGGGCCCTCCCCTGAAGCCAGGAGTGCGGGCTGGGAGAGAGGGCAGCATGGCAGCAGGAGCCAAGGGCGCCGGGGCCACTTCTTCACATAGCTCACTTGGGCCTGCGAGACCCACCGGGGCCTGATCACACACACACGGTTTCCGCGTGCTGGTGGGGTGCTGCCGGGCACCCCAACTTTAGGGCTTGACGAGGCAGAGAATGCCAGGTCATGCTGGGCGGCTCCGGTTGCACAGTCACCTGGAAGCCCATGATCAAGTGTCCAGTTTCGTCTACGGTCCGGCAGCAGGAAGAGCTGCCTCTCTAAAGGAGAGAGTAGGGGGTGTCTGCGGGTGATGGCAGCGCCTGGCTCTCACACCCGAAAGGCCTCTGCTGCAGTTCACCTGTGGAGGCCGCCCAAAGGTGCCAGAAGGCATCCTTATCTGCCACTGACACCTGACGGGCCATTGCATGAGCTGGATCCCATGACCCGAGGCCAGCGCTTGCAAACAGCAGCCTTGACCTATTCCAGAGCCGTCTCAGACCTCGCAGCTTGTCCCGCCGCCCCGTAAAACACCCAGATGAGAAACATGTTGCCTCCGAAACCCGAGCAGGCCGACCAGGACTTGCGCCTCTTTCTTGGCCATGGAGAGGCCAGGCGCAAGAACTCACCCTTCACCTGAGAAAGGCCGTCTGGACAGGCCCCACCCTGCTGGACCCCTAGGCGGTTCACCGAGGCAGAAGGCCCCTGAGCTTCGGCTGGATGGATGTCCCAGCCTTTGACACGCACATGTCTCACCAGTAAGCCTAGAAGGGTTGCTGCTTCTCGCTCACTGGAGGCAGTCAGCACCATGTCATCAGGGTCACGGCCACTGTGATAGCTCTTGGAACGGAAAGGTGAGCCAGGTCCTCGCGAACTGAGTCATGACTGAGGGCTGGAGAGCAGATGCACCCCCAGCAGGACAGTGATGGCCTACCGCTGACTTTGACCGCGGAGCACAAACTCCTTCTGGTGGGCCTCATGGACAGGTGTGGAGGAACAGACCTTGCTGGATCAACAGCAGCATGCCCGGCACATCTGCTCGAGCAATGAGAGGCCACGCCGGGCACAGCAGCTGCGATGGGAGTCAGCGCCTGGCTGAGCTCACGGTCCTCCGCCGTCGTTCTCCAAGACCCACGTCTTCTGCGAGCACCAAACAGGAGAGCCCGGTGGGCATGTGATGAGACTTTCCACCCCTGCATCTTTCAAGTCGCTGAAGGTGAAACTAGCCCCTGAAATGCTCCCAGGGCGGCAGTACTGGTTTTGGTCTCCTCTTTTCCCAGGCAGGGGCGGCTCTCGTGGCTTCCACTTGGCCTTTCCCACCACAGCGTGCTTCGCCCCACAAGTGAGGGAGCCCATGTGGGGACTG